CTCACAAATGCATGGCCATTGTCTGACCCGATCGCAAGAGGCAGCCCAAACCTAGGAATTATTTCTTCTAGTAGCTTTTTTGCTACCATTCCTGCTGTTTCATGTTTGGCAGCAAAAGCTTCCGCCCAGCCTGAAAAGGTATCTACAAAAACTAACATATACTTATGCCCATATTTTCCCAGTTTCATCTCTGTAAAATCTATTTCCCAATAGATTCCTGGTTCCTCACCTCTTTCTCTTTTCCCTCTTCCTATTCTAGTTCCTCCCGCATTGACTGCCTGGCATTGAGCACACCTATCAACCACATCCTGAGCCATACGACCTAATTTAGAAATCTGGAACTGCTTGCCCATAAGCTCCTTAAGCTTGCGTGTCCCCAGATGAGTGCTCTGATGTATTTGGCTTACTAATTTCCTTCCTAGTCTTCGAGGAAGAATTAACTTTCCTGTTCTAGTCTTAGCCCAGTCCCCTTCATAGTCTAATTTAGTCCACTTCTGTAAATATTTTAAATCTTCCTCTGAATAGTTTGGTTTCTCTGGTAGGGCCGGAGCCAGGAGTGTAACCAGCTCTTGTGATGTTCCTCGAGCTGCTTGCTTTGCGGCCCGATCTGCTTATTGGTTTCCTTTTGAAATCAGATCAGTCCCCTTTTGGTGTCCCGAGCAATGCATAACATCCACCTCTTTTGGGTCCCAAATAGCCTGGAGGAGAGCCAATATCTCTCCTCTATTTTTAATTTCTTTTCCTTCTGCTGTTAATAGACCCCTTTCTTTATAAATAGCCCCATGTATATATGGAGAGTAGCAAAGGTGTACCTGCTGTCTGTATAGATGTTGGCAGTTTTACCCTGGGCCATCCGTAGTGCCTTGGTGAGTGCGATCAGCTCCGCTTTTTGTGCCGAGGTTCCATGTGGCAGGGCTGTTGTCCAGAGTTCCTGCTCAGGGGAAACCACCGCAGCCCCCACGTACCTCTTTCCATTGACCATGTAATACTCCCATCCGTGAACAGAGTCATCTCTGCACCCAGAAGGGGAATGTCTCTGAGATCCGGCCTTATTCCCGTGACTTGGCTTAGAACCTCCCTGCAGTCGTGTGGGTGGTCAGCCAGTTCCTCTGGCAGCAGCGTGGCTGGATTTAGTACCGCTGGGGGCCTGAAGGTCACTTTTGGCTCGTTGAGGAGGAGGGCCTGACATCCTGTCACTCAGGCATTTGTTATCCACCGGTCTGGTGGAGTCCGGAGAAGGTCCTCAATAGCGTGGGTGGTGGTCAAGATGAGATTTTGACCCAGAGTCAATTTACTTGCATCCTTGACCAGGAGGGCCGTTGCAGCAATTATGCGGAGGCACAGGGGGACCCGGCTGCAACTGGATCTAGTTTCTTGCTAAGATAGGCTACTGGCCTTTTCCAGGGCCCTAAAGTCTGAGTCAAAACTCCTTTGGCCACCCCTGCCTTCCCATCCACATACAAGTGGAAGGGCTTGGTAACATCTGGGATAGCCAGTGCTGGGGCACTCAGTAAGGCTGCTTGTAATTCCCGAAATGCTCTTTCTGCCTCAGCTGTCCACTCTACCATAGTGAGTCCTCCCTTAGTCAGTTCGTAGAGAGGTCGGGCAAGCTCCACAAACCGTGGTATCCACAGCCTACAGTAGCCCACCGTCCCAAGAAACTCCCTCACTTGTTGGGACGTGGTGGGGTGGGGGTATCGGGTGATCACCTGTTTCCTGGACTCAGACAGCGAACACACTCCCTCATGGAGATCAAAGCCTAAGTAAGTGGCACGGCTCTGACAGAGCTCTGCTTTCTTTGCCGACACCCAATACCCTTTTTCCTGCAGAGTCTGTAAGAGAGCTCTTGTCCCCCGCAAGCAGGACTCATAGTCACCAGTGGCTATCAACAAATCATCAACACACTGTAACAGAGTGACTCCCGGGTTGGAGGTTCTGTACTCATGCAAATCCTCATCCAGGTGAGCTGGCCTTGGGATCCCTCCTGTGGGCCAGACCACTCAAAAGCAAAGAGAGGCTGAGACTCCCTCGCTAAAGGTATGCAGAAAAATGCATCCTTGAGATCTAGCACAGTATAGACAGTTCTTCTAGGGCCCAGGAGGGAGAGTAGGGTATAGGGGTTAGGCCCGGTCAGGTGGATATCTTCAACCCATTTATTAACTTCCCACAAGTCCTGAATGGGTCGGTACTCCCCAGTCTCGGCCTTTTTTTTTTTTTTTTTAAGATTTTATTTAGTTATTTGACAGACAGAGATCACAAGTTGGCAGAGAGGCAGGCAAAGAGAGAGAGGAAGGGAAGCAGACTCCCTGCTGAGCAGAGAGCCCGATGCGGGGCTCGATCCCAGGACCCTGAAACCATGACCTGAGCCGAAGGCAGAGGCTTAACCCACTGAGCCACCCAGGCGCCCCCAGTCTTGGCCTTTTTGACGGGCAGCAAAGGAGTGTTCCATGGAGACTTGCAAGGAACTAGGATTCCGTCTCCCCAGGGGCGGTTAATATGCTTCCTGATCCCTTCCTTTGCTTCCCAGGGGAGGGAGTACTGCTGGACTTGAACGGCCATGGCCGTCGCTTTTAACTGTACCACCACTGGAGGCCGCTCCTTGGCTAAGCCAGGGGGCTTTCCTTCTGCCCAGACTTCGGGAAACTCGCCCTGTAGGGTTTCGAGAATGTTCCCCTCTCTTGTCTCCTCTGGTTTTGAGATTGGCTCATAAAGGAGGTATTTATCTACTGCTGCCACAAACATCTGCACCGTGGGTTGTCCCAAGGTTACAGTCAGATCTCCTTCAGAGAATTGAATGCCAGCTTGTAATTTGTGGAGGAGATCCCTTCCCATTAAGTTATAAGGGGCATTAGGGAGGACCAAGAACGATGTTTGACTACTCCTGAGGCCAAATTTAAAGTCCTTTCTGTTGTCCATTTATGTTTTTCTGTGCCGTTTGCCCCTTGCACCCAGACTTCCTCTTCAGATAGTTTTCCCATGGGTTTAAGTAATGATGAAAATTGGGCTCCAGTGTCCACCAAAAAATCAATTGATTTTCCCTCCACTTCGACTTTTACCCGAGGTTCGGGGAGGGGCTCCAAACCACGGCCCCTTCAGTCTCTAGTGGCCAGCATTGCCATCTTCCTTTTGGGGCACTCCCTGGTCCAATGTCCTTTTTCCTTACAGTAAGCGCACTGATCTGAATCTAAGTCTTCCAGTCTGCTTTCTCTGTGCTTAGACTTTTCCCTCCATTGGCTATCCCCTATCTGCCTTCTCCCTTTCCATTGACATTTTTCCCCCTGTTTCTTCCCTGCTTCATGTAGAGCCAAAACCTTAACCAGCTTTTTTGTCTGTCTTTCCTCTTCCTGTGCATCCCTGTTGTTAAACACCTTTTCTGCTATTCCCACCAACTCAGTCAGATTCTTCCCTTCAAATCCCTCAATTTTCTGAAGTTTCCTCCTTATATCTGGGGCTCACTGACTAGCAAAAGCAAGATTCATTGCCCTCTGATTCTCGGGTGCCTCAGGGTCGGTCGGGCTATACATCTTATAGGCTTCAATAAGCCTTTCTAGGAAAGCTCCCAGAGACTCATTCTTACCTTGAATCACCATAGTAATTTTAGATAAATTTATGGGTCTCCTTGCAGCTGCACGGAGGCCTCCCAGTAGAGCCTGGTGGTAGAAGCATAGACTCTCCTTACCTTCATTGGAGTTTGGATCCCAGTCGGGGGGGTTCCCTTGGGCAATAGTCCTCCATTTGCCAGGGATCAAGGTCCCTCCAAGCCTCTCATTTACCACCTTACGGGTTTCTCACACAATGCGATCCCTCTCTTCCACGCTGAAGAGGGCCATAAGGAGTTGTTGAATATCCACCCAGGTGGGCTGGTGGGTAAGAAAGACAGTTTCCAAAATACTGATTAAATCCTGAGGGTGAACTGAAAAGGACTTATGTTGGGCCTTCCAGTTATAGATATCAGAAGAGGAGAAAGGGATGTAAGTCAAGTGGGGATGCCCTCTTCCGTCCGGTGGAGCAACCGCATGGAGAGGCAGCATCGGCACTGATGGAGCTGATGAGGTGAAGGGAGTTAAAGGGGGATAGAGGAAAGGGGGAGCTTCAGGGCAGTCTTCCTGCTTGGTGGTCCCATAAGTGGACCCTGACCGCGTATGAGGTGGGCTGGTAAGGGCATCCCGGGACTGAAAGTCAGGTCTAGGGGGCAGACAAAAAGGGGGGGATTCCACATTCTCCACATCTGATGGAGGTAGGATGGTCTTCTTCCCTGATTTCCCCTCCTCTTCTTCTTCCTGTTTTGGTGATCCAACCTGCCTTAGGGGGAGAGAGATGGTTTCATTAGTGGGGAGAAGGTGAGACTTGAGCCATGATGGTGGCTCTTCTACCAGATAACGCCAGGCCATGATGTACGGTATTTGGTCTCGATGGAGATTGAAGACCTTGCTCTGAGTAGAGTAGATTTGAGCCAAGACAAACGTTCCTTCCGGCGGCCATCCTGTGGAGGAAGCGGGCCACTCTAATTGGCAGAGTGTTTTTAGTTTTCCTGGATAAACCTTGTCACCCGACTGGGCGGCTTTATTTTGAAAATCCTTAAAATGCTGGAGAACAAGACTTAAGGGTGTCATAGGTCCCTTACTCCCCGCTTGCCTCATTTCTCCAAACATAATAAACAACACAACAGACAACAAAAAAACAAGACAAATACAACCGCAGGCCCAGCTGTCCTCACCCAGATCTTGCTGCTGGTGGGAATTTTCTCCATCCCCTGCAAACAGAATGAACAACAGAACAGATAACGAAAAGCCAAAACAAAGACAATCGTAGGCCCTGTTGTTTAGAACCTGAGGAGATCTCCTAGGGGGACTCAAAACCCCTGACCACCTAGGGGGACTCAAACCCCCGACCGCCTAGGGGGACTTGAACCCCCTGACTGTCTAGGGGGACTCGAACCCCCTCGCGATCTACCAGTGGAGGGAAGGGGTGTCCCTGAATCCTCTCCAGCCCTGGGGAGCATGGCCACGTCCAGCTTCACCCCGGTGGGCTATACCCGGAGCTCCACCCAGACAGACCAACTGATCTCACAGAGCACCTGGAGATCAGCGGATCCCACAGAGTAAAATCTGTGAGATTTTACCTCGAGGCTTTTCCCAGAAATTCTGATGCTGGCTCAGTTCTCGTCGTTTAATCCCAGACAGAGCCCCCAAATGTTATGCCCCAATAATGGGTCCGTGATTAAAGGAGCGAGACTGATCCAAAGCGAAGGTCAAGCAAAGCTTACCTGAAGCTGGTTTCCAGGACTTGTTTTTAAGTGAATCCCCTGGGGGTAGGGAAGCAGGGACAGTTTAACTTTAATGAAAGCCTCTTGCTAAATAGGTCCTTACAGTAAAAATAACTTATATTTTATGATGTTACTTTAATTAAAATATGATTTAATTTATTTCATTAAAAGTTTCATGTATTATTAATATACTTACATATTAATATAAGTTAATTTAATTTAAAGTATTTTGTTTGTATAGCATGATTTCATGTCATTTTGGTAAGGAAGTTAATTTGGTACAATTTTAGTGGACATTGTGACAATAGTTATCTGTTGGGCTTTTAATATACATTATTTATTTATTTATTTATTTATTTATTTATTAAGATTTTATTTATTTATTTGACAGAGATCACAAGCAGGCAGAGAGGTAGGCAGAGAGAGAGGGGAAAGCAGGCTCCCCACTAAGCAGAGAGCCCAATGCGGGGCTTGATCCCAGGACCCTGGGATCATGACCTGAGCTGAAGGCAGAGGCTTTAACCCACTGAGCCACCCAGGTGCCCCTATACATTATTTATTAATTTTATACACATTAATTTTCACATGCACAAGAGATGTTCTGCATCACAGATGGGTTTATTATTAATTACTTCGCAGTAAATAAGTTTGTTGGCTCCTCTTGCCCCAGTGCATACCCCAGTAACACAAAAAGAGCCATGCCAAATGTTCTATATGATTTATCTAGTATTCCATAGGTAAAGTTTGAGGATAAATTATTTTTCTTTGCTTATTCAAGGGAAGGCAGTGGGTTTTGAAAACATAAGTAGTTTGAGTAATTTTTTGGTGTGTAAATAAAATCTCTTCACGATCAGTTAGCCCAGGTCTCTTTCAGATTTAAAGATATCACTAAACTCTGAGACTTCATTCCTTTCAACATGTGAACACCTAGGGAGCTGCCTCTCTAGTGTTCCTGACCCCTAGAGGCTATTTTTTTTTTTTAATTTTTTATTTATTTATTTCACAGAGAGAGATCACAAGTAGGCAGAGAGGCAGGCAGAGAGAGAGATAGAGGAGGAAGCGGGCTCTCCGCCAAGCAGAGAGTCCGATGTGGGACTCGATCCCAGGACCCTGAGATCATGACCTGAGCTGAAGGCAGAGGCTTTAAACCACTGACCCACCCAGGTGCCCCCGAGGCTATTTTTGAGACCTAGTCTGAGCTACAACCATTTGGGTTTCTTGGGAAGGTAAAGGATTTTTTATCCCACAAATCAGCAGAATAATTAACTAAGCAAATGGCTAGAGATACAATTCTTTTGGTACATGAACAGTCTCAGAAAACCAAGACTTTTGTAGGAACACAGAAATCTAGGAAAGTTTCATTTTTACATGCTAGGAATTTAAAAATTCAATAATCTTTCAACTAAGGACTGCTAAAAATATATCATACTATTGATATATTTATACCTATGCTTCAAAGTATATCTGCAAATATGATATCATGCAATTGGTGGTAATAGCAAAACTAGAATTACAATTTTCAAAATATAGAGAAGTTTAATCTATTCTCCCATATATCCTAGCTATATCACTAAGTTCTACTCTCAAAGATGACACCAATTTTATCATCCTCTAAGACAACTTAGCAAACTTTCAGTCCCCAGAAATACCCACTCCTTCTCATGTAAAATGAATTATTCATCCTCTGTAGTTTCATAAACTGTATATCCTTTCTGTTGTTTTTTTTTAATCTTTTTTTAATTTATTTTCAGCATAACAGTATTCATTGTTTTTGTACCACACCCAGTGCTCCATGCAATCCGTGCCCTCTCTAATACCCACCACCTGGATCCCCCAACCTCCCACCCCCCCCACCTCTTCAAACCCTTCAGATTGTTTTTCAGAGTCCATAGTCTCTCATTGTTCACCTCCCCTTCTAATTTCCCCCAACTCCCTTCTCCTAACTCCCCATGTCCTCCATGCTATTTGTTATGCTCCACAAATAAGTGAAACCAGTGATAATTGACTCTCTCTGCTTGACTTATTTCACTCAGCATATCTGTTGTTATTTTTAAAGCATCATATACAAGTTCTTTAGCTCTCCTCTTGATTTCTGATATTAAGATGCTTCCTGATTTGTATCATAAATGCATATTCTTCATATGTATACATTCAGTCTCGAATTTTAAAATATAACTAATGAGAGAACTGAATGGTTTTATCATCTTCCTTCTTTAATCTCATTCAATAATATTTTTCACTCTTTCTAACAATACTCCTATTTTATTCATTATCTTCAAAACTCAAATTAGTAAGAGAAAACTTTGATGTTAGATTTCTTTGACAGAAGATCATTGAGCATGGTCTTGTAGGAATACTTCACACTGCATGCTGAAGCACCATTTCATTTGCATTTTATTGTTATGTGACCTAAACAAGTTTTCCTGCAAGGATAACAGCCAGAGGGAGGAATTGATCTTTTATTCAGTTCAGCTTTTGGTTGTTTGTTATCTTATTAATAATAATTTTTAGTCCATGAATGTCCATTTGGCTTCTTTTTCTTGTCCCCATCTCTGCTAAAATTTGAGAGTTCTTCACTGAGACTTGCATTCATTGAAATCATGTTCGATTGAAAATAGTTACAACATGTGCTTTAAGATGTTTGTCTGCTAGTTTCAACATCTTGTTTTTCTTGGTTTTGGACTCACTTAGCATTCTTTGCTCTTCAGAATGTGTCACATATTTTGTTTCTTCATATTTCAGTTCATTGGGATTGTGTCGTTGATACACAAAAGGTTAATTTTGAGGACATGGGGTTGTGTTATTTTTCTCAGTCTGCATTTTTTCTTCAATTTTAGTGAGAAATATTCAGCTAAGCTTAAACTGGAGACTCTGTCTTGAGCAATATCTGTGTTCCCAAGTAAGATCCTTTTCCTGTAACTGAGCTAGTTTAAACCATGGTTCAAGGGGCATCTGGGTGGCTCAGATGGTTAGGCATCTGACTTTGGCTCAGGTCATTGTTCCAGGGTCCTGGGATTGATCCCCCCTGCATCGGTCTCCCTGCTCAGTCCAGGCCAGTTTCTCCCTCTTCCTCTGCTATTCCCCGTGCTTGTGCTCTTTCACTCTCTCTCTGTCAAATAAATAAATAAAATCTAAATAATGATAATGATAATAATAATAGTAATAATAAACAAACCATGGTTCAAAGCTCAGTTAAAATGTGGCGAGGCCTAGTTTGGAAATCTCCTCATTTTTTTTTCCCTTTCTGAAATTCCTCTGATCTTTTCAATGTTCATAGTTATGCAACTTCTTCTAGTTTCCTTGTCCAGAAAAGCCTGGTCTTTGTGTGTACCCCCCAGACACTGTACATACCACAGAGACAGCTCCTAGTTCCAATTAAAGACCACAGAGATTTACTTCCCTGTCTCTCCCCTCAGTGTGCTTGCATTCCTCCCCCCAACCCCAGAGTCTTTCTGATTCTGTGCACTCTCCAGTAGTTCTGTGTTATCTGCATGTTCTGTAGATATCTATCTTTGTTTGTATCTTTGTTTTACAGGAATCTCATACCAGTTGGTTTTTAATTCCTCATGCCAGGAATCAGAATCAATCTCTATTCTTGAGAAACCCAGAATATTCATCTTTTTTTCATAAACAAATTTACTTTGAAATATTTTCATAGGTTTTCAAATATTTTTTCTGAAATTTTTTGTTGTCCTTAAAATTATAGGTGATGAATGCTTGAAACTAAGAATGAGTATTATAGCAATCTTTTTAATTTAGTTGAAATAGCATTTTCTGCCCTGAAATAAAATATAGTATTTGATCAAATATTTATACATGTATGAGGAAGCATAGATCCAGGTCTTATAGTATGATAACCTCCTTTTATTGAAGGGGTAATCAACCTTTTGTATATTCCTTTTCTTCGTCTATAACATGGGAATAAAATTTTCAAAGAGATTCCTATTAAGTGAAGTAACATGAAAATTATAAAATTACTGGAATACATATTTAAAAAATAAATATTATTCTTTATTCTAGCTATTTCCATTCACTTTCAGGGAATAAAATACTATAAACACACACTCACACACACATATACACACAATCTGATATACATATCAGATTAAACCTATAGATTTTTATGTATCAGATTAAATATATATAAATATATATGTATTTTTTTAAAGATTTTATTTATTTATTTGACAGACAGAGATCACAAGTAGGCAGAGAGGCAGGCAGAGAGAGAGTATGAAGCAGGCTCTCTGCTGAGCAGAGAGCCCCGATGCGGGGCTTTATCCTAGGACCCTGGGACCATGACCTGAGCCGAAGGCAGAGTCTTTAACCTACTGAGCCACCCAGGCACCCCAATATATATGTATTTATATATTTATATGTTTAGTAAATAGCCACCAGTGTTAAAGGCATGGAAATGTGTCCTTGCAGCTACTGTACATATAATAAAACAAAACCTGTTGAGTTTATACCAGCCCACATATGAGAAATAGGGGAATATTTATCAATTTTCATATACCCCCTATATTTTTTGTATATTTGTATATATAATGCAGTGCCAAGAATCAAAATATTATCACTTTGAAATAGTATATGGATAGATACGACCATAAAGACATAAAGGAATTATTTAAGTCTATTTCTTAACCTCCGATATATTTATATTACAGTTAATGGTGGTTGATTTTGTTTCTTTGCATATTAGTTTTGGAGGTGGGGTGGGCTGGTGAGATTGAATTAATGAAAAAGGTCTTGAGGAATTTATATAATTGGAGAACTCTTCTATTTTCATAAGTATTTTTTTTTTCATTACCTGTCACTCTGATCCACAGTAATAA